CGCGCCCCTACTCCTCGCCGTGCGGCCTCGGCTGGCCCCGCGCTCCTGCCAGCCGCCGTCTGAGCCCTGGCGGCATGTCCAGCTCTGGGCTGGGCACAAGCACCGCCAGGGAGCGAGGCTGTGGGAGGGCCGCAGACGCGGGGCCTGGCCACCGGCAGAGAAACGCCGCGTCCCGCCAGCAGGCCCGGGGCGGGGATCGAAGTGGGCCACGGCCGCCACCCCCAGACTGCGTCCTCAGAAGCCCCCAGGAAGCAGGCCGGCTGTTTCTGCCCAGCAGAGGGCGGGGCTCACTCTGCCAGGCCGCCCGTCCCTAGGGGTGCTCGGCCGCCCCAGCTGGCTCCATCGCTGCAGGCGGACCGGAGCTCGGGGGCCCGCAGAGGGTCGGGGCTGCGCTCGGCAAGCACCCGCCCGTTTCCAGAGCCTCTCACCTCGTCTTACCTCCGCGCGCTCCCTGAGGGGCAGAGGGGCGGCCAGCGGGCGCCTGCACACTACCCCAGGCCCTGGGGGGCGGCGCCCACCGCGGGCGGGGGAGGTCGCCGGAGAACGGGGAGCCGGAGAACGGCCGGTGACAGGCCGAGGCGAAGGCCAGCGGGCAGCGCGGGTCGCGGCCGCCTCACCTGTCTGACAGCGTGGCCTGGTGCCCAGCGGGTCCCTCCCGGGCCGGTGTCTTTTGGCCCCCTCGCTCCCCCTTCCACCCCGACATTCAAAGGCCGCCGCCCCCCAAGAGGAAGAGGCCTCCCGGAAGAAATACAAGAAAAATCGCAACGCAGAAGGAAGGAAGGAGTGAGACACGGACAAACTCTCCCAGCCGCTGCGCAAAGGACCCCGCCATCCGCCACCCGCAGAGTGCGCTGCCCTGCGCCCGGGTCCCAGCGCGGGGAGGGGCCAGACGCGCCCCCAGCCCTGCCCGCCCGGCCCACTTCCCTCTGTGCCGACATCCTCGCGCCCCTCGTCGCCGGGGAGGTGGGCGGCTTCCTCCGCGGCCGCCATCTCCAGGAGCCTCACACAGGTGACTGTTTCGTCATTCAAACATGGTCCACTCGCGCATCCCAGAAATCTCGCTGAGGTACCCACGCCTCTGTGTGCGCGCACCGCTTCAGCCCCCAAGCGCGGCCTGTCCCTGGACGGTCAGCGCCTCCCACTCGCACAGGACCAGGCTGGGTGACCGGTCAGGCAGACGGTCCCTGTGTCCGCCGCGGGCGGCGGCGGGAGGTCAGGCGGGCGGGAGGCTGGCCAGAGGCCCGGCCAG